GCTGTCGCCTCAAGATGGCGGCGGTCACGTCCCTGGGGGTGGAGCGGGCGCTGAACGAGGTCCGTGAGGAGTTTGTGAACATGAAGTGAGCTGTAAATTGAATGCATTCGCGGTACGTTTTGATAAGAAAAAAACCCCAACCCTAAGCTCCAGAGCTGGACACGTGGAGTTTCTTAACACAATGTTTTTCCTTGTCAAATAGGGCCATTTGGATAATACATTGCTTTGACATACACCAGATTTTCGCATCTAATGTGAAGTCTACTTGGTTCAAATATTGGTTTCAAAACAGGTATTTGTCTCAAATACATACCTATTAAATTTTTCGTACACGTGCTTCCTGTAATTTCAGGCGCTATCTTGTTGCCTGTATGCAGTTTTGCTGAAAATGTTGCGGCTAAGTAAGGAAGTCAAGAAAAGTCCAAAACTAGAAAAATCAAAATAAGGTAAACTATTTAGTTAGTGGTACGCACTAAAAAAATGAGAACTGCATAATCGAATGGGTCTTTTTTAAAGGCAACCAATAATAGTCACGAATTGCAACCAAGGGACAAAGCCAAGTGTTAACGGCCACATAATTAAGCGGAAAATATTCCAGCAACCCAAACCTTCATCCTGACATGTGACATCTGAAAATATTTGTTTTCAGTTTGGCCTTCAGAAAAACAAGCAACCTATAATAAAGCTTTAAATTGAACCAGTATGAATCTGTGGTTAAGAGACATGTGGCTATAATACGATCCCACGCTAATTCCCAGAGCAGTACAGCAGCGCACACGGTTTCCAGGCAGCATCCAAGGGAACATTGACTCAAAACGCAAAAAGCAGTGACTGCTTTGCATGCTAAATTTATCTTCCAGATAAAACGTTTCCCAGGTCGACCCCAGGGGGAACATACCATCCCGTGGGGTGAAGGACGGGGTGTGGGCAGCACGGTGGGGTCTGCAATGGCTTTCTGCCCGGTTCGTCCCTCTGTGCAGGAACACAGGCTGCGTTTAATGCCCTTTGTACAACCTCTGGTATTTAAGCTTTGCCTTTTTTTTTTTTTTTTTTTTTACTGTGTTTATTTTTGAGATTATTTTTCCCATTTTACCTGTGGAGAAATGCTGGAGGGCCTTGTGTGTTTTAAGATACCGGTTAGTTCCTGGTGCATTCATCAGCAGATGGTGCCTTCAAAATACAGGACATGTTTTTTTGGTCAACACTGCACAAATGACCAAATACTTGCCGAAGCGAGATACTGAGGGCAGCAAAACACGTAGCTACCGCCTATTGTGAGCATGTCGAAAACCACCCATTTGAACTACCGCCAAGTCCCACATTACAGGCAAAGTGTGTGCAATACACATCTCAAACACGCGCAGAGAAAATTGCGGTTATGACTCCTAACACGCAATTTGCAGCCGCCTGATGGAGGTGGCCATGGAAGTAGCGCTGTCCCAAGCAGACCCCAAAGCTAAAGGATATCACAGGGTGTAATTTGGGACTACCTCTGTGTTTTACAAATGGCATTGACAAAGGTACATTAAGGATTTAAAGCAAAAAAACTTACAGAGCTTCCTCTTAGATTTTTTTTCCTAGTCTATTAAGTGATATTATTTTAGAGATGCCAAATTAAGAGAGAGCTTTAAAAAAACCCCAGCCATGTTAAAGCTTTAGATTGGAGGTGGGTGGGAGGACACTGCAAAGAAAAGCGACTGTCTCCTGGTAAACAGGAAAAAAACACATGTGAGTGTGTTTGTATATACCAAAAAAAAAAAATACTCCCGAACACTAGGATGATGGTAAAACAGCTCAGAGGAAGCCATCCCGCCCTGTGTGGCGGTTTCCCGCCTCTTGTGAGGGGAGGCCCCGCCC